ATTAGACGAGAGATTACAATTTCTAAACTCACATTGTAAGTAGACAACAAAAATTGATACTAATACCTTTGATCATGCGCACGCAACGTAGGATGTAAATGATTCATTTCCTAAGAGGATTAGAATACTTTACTAGTAGGACTAGTATAATTAGAACAATGAGAATTGCATATAGTCTATCCTTATCTTTTAATCTTCCTCTTTCACTCATTCTCTCTCTCACACACCCTCTCTTTCAATCTGTCTGTGTGATGGTATATAACTAGTCGGTTCGACGATATTACTCACTTTCCCAGCTACAAATTTACTTAGCAATTAAGCAATTAGCGGGCTACCGCTAATTGACTGATTAAGTAGCCTACTCGTTGAGAGGGAGTTAGATTGATACCGGTGGTGGGTTCGTCGAAGCGAATCAACGTTTCAGGAAATGTTGCTGCTGCTACTGCTGCTGTTCGAGCGGGACATTCAAACTGGGAACCATTTCTGTGTGTGTGTCTGTGTCAGTGTCTGTCTATCTGTCTATCTGTCTCTGTGTGTGCTTTGTCTACTTACTCTCTTTCTATATCCGTATACATATATAATCCTTTATATACACACACACACACATACATACACACGAACGATTCGCGGTACCGTTGATTAGCTATCACCTAACCGAAAATGAGTTACCCTTCGTTAGTACGATCGTTAATGCGTACCGGAAAATCTCGGAAAGTCGATACTCCCCCACGTACCCCAACCCCCCGCGGCTACCACCGTTAGTCCTGAAATTAAGCGTTTTATCTTAATTTAGAAAATTCGTCGGCAAATTAAACCCCAAAGCTTTGATATTATTATTATTATTATTATTATACAACGTATATATCGAATAATAAAATAATAACGTTGCCTGAATTTATGTTTAACGTATATAGATATATATTTTCGTTTAGATTGAGTCTTAATTGGAATATAACAAAGTAAGATTATATTATTTTCATTCGAACGAATAAATCGTACAGGAAGTTGTTGTTATTTATTTTGAGAACGTTTTGTATACGACCAACCCATTATACCATTTCCTCCTATCACTTCCTCTTCCCTTTTATTTTTTTTTTTCGCTTTCTCTCTTCCCGTCCGAATCGTGTAACATTTTTTTTCACAATCTTCCTGGTTGCGATCAAAACTTTTTTGATGGGTTAAAACTTGCGCGATATGTAGGTACCACTACGTATAATACGAAAGATAATCCGATAGAGCTTGGATATAATTTGAAAGGCGATGTTTGAGTTCCCACCGGCCTTGGGCTCGCATATGCATTTCCGTTCGTTTGGTCTGGCTCCGTGCGAGAAAGAAAGATAGAGAGAAGAGAGAGAGAGAGAGAGAGAGAGAGAGAGAGAGAATCCAAGTGTATGGAAATATACATACACATATATTCGTGGTTAAGTATATTCTATTTGCAACTACGCATCCACATACATACTTATACATACACGAAGCAATAGTTAAATATATATGTAAGGAAACACATATATACATTTCTATATAGCAGGTATATTCTATTATATTTGCGAACACACATATGTAAGCGAGTAAATTCGCACATACGTACAAAGTCGGATACATGGATGTGTGTATATATGCTTACACATAAACGTATACATTCACGCGTGGAACGTATATTCTATTTGTAAGTACATAGCCATACATATAAACCAATATGTATATATACACACGGATATAGGGATGTATGAGGATTGTAGAGATGTGTGAGGTACGAAGTTATAGGACGCTGCCTGTTGGCCGTGTTCTCTGATTGGGCCGAGCTAAGCTTGCTTTCTCTCTCTCGCTCACTCTCTCTCTCTCTCTCTCTCTCTCTCTCTATCTATCTACCTCCTTCTCTCTTACTTTGGTTCCTGCTTAGCATACCTAACTATGGAGGAGAATTCCTCGGCGGGACGACTAGAATCGCTCCGATTCGGTTTAATTCCGAGCTTAAACCAGGATATCTCACGATCACCTACCTACCTACCTACCTACCTACGAGACATCTGGATCGTTCTTTTCCTTCTACGTGTAGAAACGTGTTCTCCATTCGTTTACTTTTTTTTTCCAACCCGACCTTTATCCCTTCCTTTTAACCCGTTCGTCCCTCTACCTCCCATCTCCCTTTCCCCCCCCCCCCCCGCCGTATCCTTTTATCTATCTTCAATTTCTTTTCTTATTTCATGGATTAATGCATTTTTAAACATCGAATATAAAGTGTATCTTTCGTTTCTTTTTTTTTCTTCTTCTTCGAAATGTTCTTCCTCTTCCATCGTATTAATTATAAATAAATATTTTTTTATACTTTATAATATCTTTGAAATATGAATATATATTTAAAGTGGTATTATAAAGAAGATGAGAATAAGAGAAAGAGAGAGAGTAAGCAGTTATGGTAGTTTTCTTCGCGATATCGTTAGAATAAAAGAAAAGTGTCGTTGGTAATTACTAGATAGCTGATAATTAAAGCAAGGGGGGGTGGGTTTGGGGGAGGGGAGTGAAACGAAGTTAAGAGGTGCCAGTAAAGGAGCAAGGAGGTAGAGGAAAAAGTAGAGAAGGTGGCGGAGAAAAGGGGCAATGCACAACGACGAATTTAAAAGTTAAATTGTGTTTCGCTCATGAATTATGCATTCTCAAGGAGAGACTTCTGATTGCGCGGAAAGTTAGATCTTTTGAATGTATGTATATATATATATATATATATATATATATATATATATATATATATATATACTAAAGATGATATATATCGCACATTGGTCAAATGACCCTCCCCTTTAACATTCTCAACCCTTTTTCAACACTTTTCCTTCAGACTCCTCGATATGACAACTTATAATCATTCGATCGTATATTTCTTTACTTTCTTTCTTCGTTTATCTTAATTATAGAAAATTAATTTCCCATTTTGTTTTTTTTTTGTTTGATCAAAATTTGAGAAACAAAAATGAACGTTCGTTAGTTTTGTTGCCAAGCAAGCAAAGCAATGAATAGTTCGCCACCGTTGTCGTCGTCGTCGTCAGCCTTTTTTTCGTTGTCTGTATTCTCTCTCTTTCTTTTTATTTCTCTTTCTCTCTTTACGTCGACGTCGAGAAATGGGAAATATTTTTTATTTTTTTAAGTCGGGTGTCTACGTCTCTTCGACGCAAGCGACGAATTGGAATAGCGAACTGTGAGATCTAAATTTAGCGAAAACTTTCCCGAGATATTCGCGTGGTTAGATCGTATTTGTATATTTGTGTTCGTCCTACACGTGTGTATGTACGTGTTTTTATGTGTATATATCGCGCGCACGTTTCATCTGATATTTACTGTGATGTATTAAAGAATGAGTGCTACATATTTTAATTTTCTTTTTTTTTTTTCTTTTACACGCGAGTAGAATGACGTTCGAATAATTATTTTTTCTGTTCGGTTCATAAAAATGAAAGAAAACATTTAAATTTGATTGATCAGGATAATTTTAAATGATCGCGTTTTTAAAGGTAAAGTTTAGATTTTTATTTATAGACTTTTATTTTCTCTCTTTTAAATATAAATATGTATTATATTTATATAATAAACCCTCTCCCTCATATCAACCATTACCCCATGTCTCATTTAAAATCAATATAAATTCTTTGGTAAGATTTTTCATACGTTATAAAAAGAAAAAAAGAAACAAATAAAAAAACTCTTACCAAATACAGGAGTAAAATAAAATATGACGAAACAAAAAAAAAAAAAAAGAAAAAGAAAAGATTGAAGAAACGTATCAGACGAGTGTTAGAGATCTATCGGAAACCCATATACGAGGGTATCTATTTTTGTTCTCAAACCCGATACACGTATTTGACCATATACTAATCTGAAATCATTTTCTTTTCGACCATTCCAGATTATTTCCTTTTTCGCGTAGTCTTCATTCTTTTCATCGTTTCTTCTTCTTCTTCTTCTTCTCTATTCTGTTCTACTCTACTCTTTCTCATATCTCTTCCTTTACCTTTTCAAACGTCTTCCACAGAGTCGACCAATAAATGCCGTAACTTGGCTGGCTTCAGGGTACAAAGTCGTTTTCACAAATGGAACGCCCATGCGATAGAGAAAATTGCGCGGCAATAACAAAGCGATACCAACGAACTCGAGGGTGAAGGGTAGAAGGAGGAGGGGTGGATGGTGGGAAGGAAGGAAGGAAGGGTGGAAGAGGAAGGTTGGATGTTAAGACGAATCGAGTCTCGAACTGAGAGAAACTTAGTGGACCCTTCTTCTCTTTCTATTCTATTCTATTCCTATCTTGTAACGTTATATTTCTTTCCTTTTCTCATTTGTAATACTTTTCTCTTTGATAAGATAAAATATTACGCTTATTTTATATATATATATATATGTAATATAATATTGTCCTTTTCAGGAGAAGAGACAACGTTTATTGCAATAAAAGGGGAGAGTTTCATTTTGTTGTTCTTCTTTTAGTATAATATTATCCTCGTTGGATTCGGTTTTGGTATAAATGAGATAGAGATAGAGAATCAAGGATATGGTATTAGATAAATTGCAATGCTCGAAGATTATGCTGTTGAAATGTGTTCGATGATAACTTGGTATTAGCTGTCATATTTTTCGAAAATAAGAAATGTGTGTGGACAAAAAAATATATAATAAAGTAATAAAAAAAGTAATATTTGCTATGTATCAGATATATAATATTATTAAAAAAGAAAGAAAAAAAAGGTTAAAATATAATAACATTTTTCACAAGTAAGAGTGTGATTTAGATTTACTTGTTAAAATAAGTTTGATGAAAACACGGTATTACCTGTCATATATTTTATAGATGAAATGGTAATAAGAAATAAAAAGAAAAAAGCAAAAAAAAAAAAAAAAAAAAAAAAA